AGCGTTCCCTCCTGTCAGCCTCTCCTCAGGCTGCGCCTGGGCGGTGCGGTCCGCCCTCATGGACGCACCGCCCGGGCAAAGCTGCAGCCGCCTGAGGCTCTTTACAGAGCGCTCGGGCGGCTGCAGCATGGGGGGGGCGGCGGAGCTGGTCATGGCACCCCCCACCCGGCTGGCACCCGGGGCGGACCGCCCCCCCCGCCCCCCCCTTAGTACGCCACTGGTACCATAACATCCTATACTCCGTGCATCGGTACCGTAACATCCTATATTCCGTGTATCGGTACCGTAACATCCTATATTCCGTGCATCAGTACCGTAACATCCTATATTCCGTGCATCGGTACCGTAACATCCTATATTCCGTGCATCGGTATCGTAACATCCTATATTCCGGGTATCGGTACCGTAACATCCTATATTCCGTGCATCGGTAACGTAACATCCTATATTCCGTGCATCGGTACCATAACATCCTATATTCCGTGCATCGGTATCATAACATCCTATATTCCGTGTATCGGTACCGTAACATCCTATATTCCGTGCATCGTACCATAACATCCTATATTCCGTGTATCGGTACCGTAACATCCTATATTCCTTGTATCAGATATAATTCCATTCCTTAAGCTTCAGCTGCCACAAACCGGGTAATCACAATCTGGTGAGATGTCCCACAATGCACAGAGAGCACTTTTTATGTACGGCAATGTTCAGAATGGGAGTGACAGCAAGATTCATGAATAGTTACTGATTGCGCACACAATCCCTCCATTTTATTTAACAAATATTGCCAATTGTAATGAAAATCGGCTTCCCCTTTAAACCAAGCTAGGGTTTCACACCACAAGTTAATCATTTTTATTTGTCACAGCACCCTATTTTACAAATTTCTTACACAATGCTTAACTTCTGTCTGCAAATAATAACAAAATTCCACAAAGTTCTCAAATTGCTTAAACCGTGCGTTCATTACAGAAGCGTGCATGTGTTTAGAAAGCCCTAATATTCCTATAGACGTGTTTTATTACACCTGCCGCTGCTAAGGCTCCCATTAGGCAACGCTCCCTGCTGCTCCCTTTTATATTATCAAATCAGCACTAAATGTATTATAGGAGTTAATCTGAAACTCATTTGTATCAGCATTGGACCGGAATATAAAAACTGCAAGAAGCACAGAGCCTGGTGTGGATTTATGATAACGAGTCATTGTGGGACAATGTTCTAAAACGTGGAGGAATCAACAGGCACGGTCTGCTGGTTTCCATAGCGATTCCCTTACTTTTAAAACTATCCCAGGCGTTCACTCTTTATAAATAACTGGTGCTATATTTTATAAAACAGGTCAGTACTTCACGTAAGTTCACCTTACAACTCAGTAACGAAGGCAGCAAGATGGAACACGTTCTACTCAGCCGATAGGGGCTTATTCACTAAATACCAAACATTAACGATAGAGTTGCTGGATAATTTCAGCAAAATCTGTTTAAATTCGGTATTCAATTCCCGTCAATTTACTGTTTCGTAAAGAAACGATACTGTGAAGGACAAGTAACATATAAAATATTTTATTTAAACACATTCTGAACAGGTTTCTTTGTCTGCGGCTTGTTTTGTGAGATGTCCAACACTGAAATAGGGATAGATCGACCGATAGACGACAGACAGACCGACAGATCGACAGATAGACCAAATAAGTTGTGGTGGGGAAAAGAAGTGTGGATGAAAACCCCTTCCACCTGAAATAAGTGGATGGTTAATGCAATATTAAACACAAATACACACACCAGGAAGCTATATAAAAAAACAAACCAAAAAAAATGAT